ATCTAAAGATATTTCAGACATAGTTTATGATGGTTATTTTTGTTGCATTTGCATATTTACACACAAATATTGAGAAGTGTCACCAAGTAGGAGATTGGTTCACTCACATGAACAATCGCCTCAAATTCTTTGTGAAATGTTGAGATGAGACATGATGAGCTTGGCACTAGTGGGAGCTTGCCTCGTAAGGTTAGTCAATGTCGCCTTGAAAGAGTCAAGATGAGATATGCCCATCGAGATATCGATCATGATTGACCCAGAATCATGAATACTTGGAAGAGCTGGATAAGTACATAATAAAGCGCTAGACAGCGAGCTGATAGTAGCTTGATCCACGTAGTAGTATTTGGTTTAACAAAATGACATATGCTCTTGAAGAAAGAGTTAACTACTATGACATGTGATTCATACCACATGTGCTAGTACGACCATATAGGAAGCTAGTGATATTATATTTATAATCCCTATCACTCGCAATGTGAGTTCCTATTAACCTTATTATGGTTTCAAGTGTTACCCTTGAACATTCGTCTACGTTCTTGAAGAGAGTGTTCGCTACTTTAGTATGTTTTTCTGATGGTGATGGAATAATTAGCCTTATGGGACATGCTAGGAAAGCGGTTAGTTTGGAACAGATAGACATGAGTACGGAAGGGAAAACTATTTATTTTTACATTGACATATGTGTTTGCTGGCCAGCCACTATATCGCTCAATTGGAGTTTGAATATAGTGAACACATGATGTGAAATCCTCTATATATTAATTGAGGAGATATAAGTGGAACAATCCTATGTGTCATTCAATGAGGATTTCAAGGGACATAACATTAAATTTAACCAATCAAAGCATTTCAATTAAATTTATATGTTATGGTCACATTCTCTACATATTTTCATTAATTTAATATAAAAAAAACCCTATTAATACATGTTTTCCAAATTTAAACTCAACTAAATGTAATACTTATGATTTATCATATCATCTATAGCAATATATTTTTCTGATATATTGACAATATTTTATAGTTATATTTATAAACATATTATATATTGTGTATATATGTTCTTAGATTATTGTATTATACATATATTTTTATTATGATGTAGTCTATTATACATGTTTAATCAAATTTACAAATATTTCTTTATTTTATTACTGAAAAACATATATTTTGTGTTTTATTTGTTATGTCTGACAAGTTCATATAAATATAAAATTTATTTGATTTATCGTATGCTCTATAATTTACACGAATAATAAAGATCAATTTACATTTAAAAAGATATTAAAATAAATAACATTTGCATATATTTTAATCAATTTACACATAAAAAAATTAAAACTCATGGCTTGATAAAAAATATTCAACTTTGTGCACAATACATATCATTTTTTACGTTTAATTATAGATTATATGTTTTGTCATACATGTTTAAATATTAAAAAAATGTATATATTAAAATTAATTAGCCATTCTATTTAATTATTTAATCCCACGCTTGGCGTGGGTTAAAATCTAGTGTCTAACATATGCTATAGGGATAAGATATGTTAAGATTGATGTAAAATATAAATAAGTTTGGGGAACAGCGAGACATGCTGAAATGCAGATATTTTCTCTAGGGTTGTAGCAGTTATGTATCCCTAACAGGTGCATAATTTAGCTCCTAAGTGCAGGTGTACTCGCAAGGTCGCACGGTTCATTTGTTGTATGATTTCTGGATTACGATTCTCGAACGTAACCTCTAAGATCTCTCTAATACTAATTATGCTCCCTATCATGTGCGAGTGGGAAATGTTGGTTTACGGTTGGTTTGCGCCCATGATTTGGCAGCATACCGAACCAGTTTAGTTAACCGGTAGTTATGAGATATTGAATAATCATAACTATACAAATGACTATCGTGTCTTTTGGTACATGTCTTTTCGTTGTCTATATAATAGACATTTGCAGAGAGACATAAATACACTGGTGTCCATTGACACAAAGAGAAAACTCTAGAGCGAGAAAAACGGTTTAGAGAGAGAAAGCTTCGAGAGATCAACCGGAAGGGCATT